GTCCTCTTACACTACAGAGGCTTGCTCACTTGGCTTCACTTTCTCTAAGAGCTTCTCAACCGTCTCCTCCAACCAAGATAAGTATTAGCAGTAAGTTCCCGATAATTCCTGGAATTTTCTAGGGAGGCGAATGGTGGTTTAGAGGTGGATACTTCCCTCGACCCTTCCTGGTCCAGAGGAAGGTATGAACTGAACAAAATGAGGCTTTACCAGCCCACTATGACTTGGTCGGAGCAGGGGTTGAGCAGCTCAAAACACCTACTGGTGCTTGGCCAGGTCACCAGCAGTTTGTACTAATTATATAACCTACCTATGTACAAAGCTAAGTAATACGACCAAATAATATTATAAAGTCGAGTACATCCATTTTAGCTACTAATGGAATTACTCCTGAATATATTATGAAGTGAAATAACAAAAATAACATGTAAAATTATACCATTGTGATAGTAACAAGTAGAAACAGTTTACTAAAACTGAACAAAAGGGTGTAACAGGGCTCTATGGTATTGCCTCTGTTTCCAGTGACAACAATTCTTTAAATTCTTTGTACAACATTTCACACACTTCCTTGTAGTTACTTGTGAGATGTCCTCCTTCCTTACTGAATCAAATTAATTGGTCTTTTTCTGTCGTCTTCCTTCCGACGTGGCTGTAAAGTAGTTTTGGTTCAGTGCCATTCTCAAATCGCCACTGTGTACTACTGCCTCAAAACTGGGCTCTTGTACGAATACATTAGACTGTCTTAAATGTAGTGCCACACCGAGGAATTAGGACCTATTTTTCCTGCAGTTTCTGAATGTTGAACCAGAATTTGCCTCAGAATTATGTGGGTTGAACATCTGTGGCCGTCTTTCTTGTTATTGCAGATGTCTTCCCCTTTAAATGAGTCTATATTAATGAGCCACGTTTCCTTTACATAACTTTAAGAAGTCTGCTCTAAATGTTATCGTTTTCTCGTCACTTTAAATGGACACGGTGTCCCTTGGAAGGCCACCCTATAATTACCAGAGATTTCTGTATCACTGACAACATATTTATGATCGAATTTTTTATTATTGCCAAGTTAATTTCGTTTAGGCTATTACAATATCAACACATTTGGGATTTTTCTGATGCTGTAATATTAATCCTTCTGGCTGTGGGCACTGTTGTTCCTGGGGGCATTTCCTGTACCCTCCTATCTCCCTCCCTCACTCACTCCAGTGAAGACGATTCTCTGGGAACCTACTTGCTTGGACATCCTCCTCTTTTCTGCAATTTTGCAAGTTCCTGATGATGTGTTGATCGCAACATGAAAGGCCTAGAGCTATCATTCTACTCCCCCCGTGGTTGTTTTGCATCCTGTAACTCAT